AGCCTCTTATTCTTTAATATTTTTTATGTATCTCATAATCTGTATTGAAAATTTGAAATTTTATTACACATGGACTATCAAATTATGATGCCGTTGCCCTATGAATAAACTTTCTAATTATACAATACGGGATCATTCATTTGATTGAAGACTGATCTTTGCGTCTTTCTCTGAAATAATTATTTTCCTTTCAAAACATATTTGACCACAATATTTCTGTCATTTAACTGTTCACTTTACAGCTATATACTATAGTGGCGGGTTTATCGTTTTCCCGCGTACAGCCTCTAGGGTGTACTAATAAGTTAGTTTTCCTTAGTTATCACGCAAGCACGATCCATGTCTCTGATGTAAGCGACAATTTACCATTATTTGTCTTTAAAAAAAAATTTAAGGACTATTAATGGTTTATATCAAACAAAAGAACATCGCATGATATTGTCAGACTACGTAACGGTGTTGCAACGTTCTTTACCCGTCATAAAACAGTTGGTCGCTGCGTAGTAATTGGAAATTGTTATCAAAAATAATAAAGAATATTTGCCACCTAATTAAAGCATTTACTTATAAATTTTCATTTATGCTTCTTGTTAAAAAATTATTGATAAAGTTATTATGTAGAAGGGTTTTTTCATATACAGAACTATTTATTAACAGACGTACGTATGCCTTAACCTGATTACCGCGGCAGTATGACGTCACGGAGTAGTGATTTTGAAAAAATAACAAACAAAAATCAAGAATTTTTCAGAGAATTATTATCTGATATGAAATTAAAGAATGAAAAATATTTTCATATTGTAAATGTCTGTGATGAGTGATGAAGTCAGCTTAGAAAAAAATCAAGGTACTATTTTTTGACCTGATTACCGCGGCAGTAAGATTTGACGGACGGTATTAACATTGGGTCGGCATAGCCTCCCCAAAAATGGAACGATCAAAATAATAAGACAGCAAGTTGGATTTTTCCTAAAATCTACTCGTACAAAATGGCTTTATAATTTACACATTTATTAATCAATTCAATATACTTGATCCTGGCAAGTTACATAATTATTGCTTAAATATTTACCAAGCAATTGCCTTTTTCAGCAGTTTGAGAATGAATATCGCTAACCTAAACCGGCAAGTTGGATTTATTTAAGTACTGTCTATACTTATGGCTTTATAATTTCCACACTTACTAATTTAGAGAAAGTTCATGACATTGCCAAGTTATATAACTGTGCCATCCATCTTTCCCAAGTTATATTCCTTTTTTCACTTAGGACCTTGTATGGTTTACCTATTCCGGTAAGTTGGGTTTATCTTTAATTTAATTTATTTAATGATATCTTCCATATCTTGTAGGTGGATTATTAATGGCCGTGTATTTTTTATGGAGTAAGGGGTCTCTAGTGTCAAGGTCACTGGTGTGATTTTTTTATAACATTTTTGCTCATTAAGCCTTTATTGTTATGATTATGTTATTTTATGTTTAATACAAACATGCCAAAGGAGGTCCTCTTCCTTTGGGTTTAGTTGGGGGTCCTGTGGGTAAAGGCCAAAGTCACCAATGCAAAAATAGATTTTAAACATTTTTTTTTTTTACAGGTGTTTTAACATTATTCTTTTGAGAGATGACTTTTATATTTGGTAGGAACATGGAATTAAGGTATTCTCCTTTGGATGGAATTATGGTTCAGTTTGGTCAAGGTCACCAGTTCTAAAATAGATTTCTACACTTTTACAGCCTTTATTTATTGACAAATGTATTTCATATTTGGAAGGTAGATAACTTGCATGGTATTCTTCCTTTTGATTGAGGAAGGGATCAATGGGTCATGGTCACAAATGCTAAAATGGATTTTAATTTGAAGGATGAAGTTCACACAAACAGTTTATGCTTTTATCAAATTTGCTATTCGTATGCATGTTTTTATTTCCATTTTAACGCTAGAAAGGCAGTGGTCATTCATTTTATTGTTGCAATAAATTAAAAAGAAGTTTTCTTTACACATCTGTTCCTTTTTTTTTTTTTTGAAAAATAAAGTTCTTAAAATTATCTTAAAATAGATACACTATTGTGCTTATGTTTGTATTTATGGTCATTTGAACTTCACTATGACGTACTCGACATGCGCATTTTAGGACGAACATAAAAGTGGTTACAGATATCTAACCAATATCGTCGTTACATATGTATAATTCATGTCTTGTGTTTTTCGAAAAATGTCAGATTTAATTTCATTGAAATATTTATAATGAAGCGTTACAGATTAAGATTTTCATTACAGCAAAGCAATGATATAAAAGGCCTAAATTCTCTGGCCAATACGGCTAGCTGTCTTCAACCAAATAGCGAGGCCAATATGAGATTAACCAATTATTTGTATTCTTATTTTATGATATTTACTGAGAATCTTTCATGGTATAAAGCGACTTGGCGAGTAAAATATCACTTGCCACAATGTCAAAGAGTAAATAGTGTTTGACAAATCGTAAAATCTACTAAATCTTGTGTACTTATTTTAACTTTGACATCTGCTTACTGTGTGTGAATTTGCGTTTATTTATACTCGCCACCGGTTGCCCATATGGGCGAGTCCTCCAGAAGAGTACAAGTCATTTTAGATTTTGGAGGATAGTGCAATTACAGATACAGAAAGATGCCCCAATTCCAGAAGCTTCCCCTTCTTTAACGTGCAAAGTTGTTTTAGCACCCATACACGGGTCCTCGATTTAAAGTATCATCCGAAAGACTGATCAGTAAATTTAGCTGGCCAGCCCGGGAATAGAACCCACAAGGTCGAGGTTACAAGTCTGGCGCTCTATGCGGCACAAAAATTCCGGTGCATATAATCGTAAAATTCGCTCATATCTAGTACCCGACTGCGGATCGAATACTACATGATCAAGGAGTAACTACATGATATTTTTTTTCGATTTTCGTATCGACCGTGCATTTCATACTATGTTTTTCACGTATTTGCCGTTTCTGTTAAAATAAAAAAATTGCCTTGATATTCAATCAATATTTCACGTTTGAAGTGAATATTTGTGATGTTTTTTGGAAAATATAAAAAGGGAGATATTTTAGAAAAAATACCTTTCCGGGTCATCTGTCCTTTAGAAATGCATTAGTACTTTCATATGAAATAAGTATTTTAAGTTTAAAGTGAATATGTTTGAAATTAGCCGTAACCAAAAGGTTAATGAGAGCAAAAACATCTTAGAGAAATAAGGGGAATAACTTTGCAAAATATAACTAGGATTATCTGCCTTTTGATATTGCATCATATGATCATAGTGAACAACTAAACCACGTTTAAAGTAAATTCGGTAGTGTCTGAGAAAATAAATGAAATTACTTAAACCAAATTCTGAGAGCGACAATACCATAATACCTTTATTCTGTTGTCAATCAGGGTTACAAATGAAAATTTTAAACAAAGAAAATACTTATCTATTGAGAATTTAGTATTAATTATCCTTTCTAGCCTAAAGATTACATTTTATAGCAGCTCAAAACCTCGATATTTAGGTTCATTAAAGAAACCAAGTAAGACAAAGATAATTTTTGTGTAATGGCAATTACAATTAAAATAGCTATGAGAATGTTAAAAAGTAATATAATTCTACTTTCAACATGATTTTAACATGAATTTACATCTTGCGACATTTAACGGTAGTGTTGCGACATTTAACGGTAAGAGAAATTCGTGCGACATTTAACGTTAACATTGCGACATTTAACGGCAAATGATTTTGCGACATTTAGCGGCGGTTGCGACATTTAGCGGCAATGGTGCGACATTTAGAGGCAAGTGCGACATTTAGCGGCGTTGCGACATATAACGGCGCCACATGGACCAAGGAATAAATGAAACTCATAACTCAGGAGTTTTTTTTTTAGACCTATGTCTAAGTTATCCCGAAAATGACATTCAATTAACGAAAATTAGGCCGGGGACTTCGCTTCAAATATTGTTGTTACCATAGAGTATACAAAGTTACTGTAAGATACTCATTTAAGTAACTAGTTAATCACTTAATTATTGTGTTAACCACATACATGTATATGTACATGTAATTATTAGATAATTTATTTAAATCTAAATATTTTATCTGGTGGCAGAAATACTCCACCATAGAACCATAGAAATGATTAGGTAGTTGCGTTACTTGCACAGATAGGCTAGATTTAAAATTATCATAATATACATGTATTGTATTTTTAGATATTATCTTGCAGTAAAAAATACCAAATTTGGTAATAAACTTGTTCTTCTGGTGATAAATCTAAAATCATAATTTATCTTCTTTGACAGCTAGAAAATAGTCCTCTAACATGATTGCGAAATAACGTTATACAAAAATAAACATGATATTACAAATAAGGGAAGGCTGAGCGAGTGATATAACGTTTTCGCCAAATTTGATCACGTTATGGTTATAATGCAATAATAGGTTTTCGTAACTTTCCGTCAAACTTCGGGTCGCTATATAGTTAAAATTCGCATTTTTTGTATATTTTTTAATTAATATTAACATTTATTTCCCTCAGATGTATAGAAGAGATGAAAATCATTATGATGTAATACCGGAAGAGTTATCATTCCTTATTAGGTGTGAATAATTTCCGTATTGTATTATAAAGTATATGCATTTTAGAAAAAATATTCCGGCCTTTACCTATACACATATACTAAGTATAACTCTGGGAGTTTAAAACCAAAACTTTTCAGGATTATAACATACACTTATAAAATGTTGCCCAGTATAAATAAGTTTTATACTTTCAGGGTTTTTTTCCGGGTCTAAAACTCCAAGCCAATCTGTGAGGTTTTTTCTGGTTTACCTCAAGACAATCTATATATGACCAGGGACTTTTAAAAAAGGTGCTTTATCATGTAAACGAATATTCGAAATAACATCGTGAAACTCGTTGCTTATCTGCAATGCCCTATTCATGGTTTCACGTACATGTTCACTCTATAAAAATAAAGAAATTAAGTCAATTTTAATAGCTTTTCAGTATATTCATCATAGAAATAATTTTAATTACTTCCCAAGAATATTAATGTCTGACAATTTATATAAAATTGATGCAGCCAATGTGTAAATCTGAAAACAAGCAATATGTATATAATTATGATGGATGGATGGAAGGTTGGATGCATGCATGTATTTATGTATCATGTATGTATTTATGTATGTATGAATATGTGTGTGTGTGCGTGCGTGCGTGCGTGCGCGCGCGCGCGTGCGTGCGTGCGTGTGTGTGTGTGTGTGCGTGAAATCACTCCGGTACAGTTGTTTCAGCAATTAATCTCTTCTTCGATTTCATGACATATTTCTAGTCGCTATCATGTCTTTGGAATGAAATGGCCTTCGGCTTCATTGGCCTACAAATAAGAAATATTTTTAGACATTTTTAATATATTATATACATTTAATAGTGTACAAATGAATGACGCCTAATTATGTCGCAACGGAAATAAGCCATAAATTGAATAATATATATTAAATGTTCTTATAACAAACACTATTTAATGTGTCATATATCCTCTTTTCAAGGAAACAAGAATTACAATAACTGAACACATTATGCTCACTCATGCATATTTAAGCATACATTGTACATAGTAATGCGCATACGTTGTCACATTGATGTCTAAAACATACTAAAACACACATTGGCAGCAAAAAGTGATCATAATGCCTACTTTTTCTCGCACAACGGCCTTCTGAGGGACGTGCAAGGCACATCTATCCACTTGTATTTCAGAAGGTGGCCAAACGCAGCACAATCCTCGCCATTTGTACCTGCGTCCTGTGGCTCGGTTCCACCCCAACCAAGATACGGCGCATTTGTCCCATCATCGGTAAATTTCCACACACCTTCAATGACGTTATCATTTATCCCCAGCCAATAATCAGCGTTTTCTTAAAATAAAATGATAACATATATACTTTCTTACTTACGTATACGAAATCACGGTGCCTATACCACGTGACTTTTTTGCAGAAAACCAATTCAAAAGACGTTCCATGTTTTTATACATGCCATTTTTTTTAATATTTCTTATTTATATATCTAATATTTTATTTTAATTAGATTAAGTGTAGAACCCGCTCATTCCAAAGACGCTTGGGGTCAGATCCTGCCCCCAACTTGATACATCCCATCAAAATATTTAAACACGGATTGGACCTCTGGCAGGCAGGATCTGACCCCAAGCGTCTGTGGCTCATTCTAGTCAGGAACCCATACGAGAGTGTTTCCTGAAAAAAGTCCTATTTTTTTTTTTCATCAAGCGAAACCGTGTGAATATCTAATTGTTCAAACACGCGCTTTCTGTCAGATAAAAAAATATTGTTGTGGGGTTGAATCCAGATTATTTCACAATCGCTACTTTTCGATCCTTTTCCGCCAATCTTCGGATATGGACCTCCAGCGCAATAGTACGTACGAAACTGTACTTCTGTTTAACCAACATTACAAAACATGTAAATAAAAAGTAAATAAATGCTAGGATTTGTTTATTCCATAATATAGTGTAAATAAATAAATTGATTTATACAAAACCTTAATGTTATGTTTGTAAAAACCGGGCGAGTTTTTCGAATTTGTTATTAATTGTACGTCAGTGAATAGTAAAATGTAAGCAGTCAACTGCAAATTCTTAAAATCAACGTTTCGGCTGAACAGTGATCCTCCGCCAGTATTTATGTGTGTGGAGAGCGGAGGGGGGTCAAATCAAAACAAACGAACATTACCATTCAGGTGAGTGTCCATAAATGTTCTAAGGAACGTATCTTCTTGTACATTCTCCACACGGACCAGATATGCACCATTCAGATCACAGAATTCCTATAAAGAAAAAGTTATCAAAATTAATGGTTTAAAATTATTACTTTTACTTTTTCGGAGAAAGTATTTGCTTAACTTGCTCTTGTTCACGACGTGGCTACGTCCGAAAACTTTAACGTTGGTCATATTTCTTAATGATTTGCCTTCATGCTTGGATACAACAACGCTTTTGACAAGACCTTCAAATTATATGAGCCGCGTCATGACAAAACCAACATAGCTAGTGCGCAGGCTGGTCTGGATCCATGCTGGTCGCAAACGCGTTATGTTGGTTTTGTCGTGACGCGGCTCATATATAGGTTGAAATGTCACATGACCAAGTAGGCACAATAAGTTAAAAACTAATGCAATCATTAAAGTATGCATAATTAGTCAAAATCTAGTGTGCATGATCATTATAATATGTACTTATTTTAATACGGGTCGTCCTTGAAATTATACGTTGCTTCTGACAATATGTACCTAAAACTACTTGATTACTTCTTATATAATTATGTACAGCTGCCGTGTACATTAATTGTATGTTGATTATATAAACGTTATGATTATCCAATGAAAATCAACGTTAAAACGTGCTGTATTATACAATTTAAATAAAGATTTACACATGTCTTGAAACTACTCTTGATGTAATATAGGTTTTATATTATTTCGTTATACAAATGAGCTGCGTCACGACAAAACCAACATAAGGGGTTTGCGACCAGCATGGATCCAGACCAGCCTGCTCATCCGCACAGTCTGATCAGGATCCATGCTGTTCGCTACCAGTTTCTCTACTTGTTATATGGTTTGTAAGCGAACAGCATGGATCCTGATCAGACTGCGCATGCGCATGCTGGTCTGGATCCCTGCTGGTCGCAAACCCACTATGTTGGTTTTGTCGTAACGCGACTCAAATACTCTTACCTTTGCTGAGGTAAATCCAGATCTACTCGGTCCGAATAGATAGCATGAACCTTTGTAAGCCAGCCAACCATCATCACAAGCCGTGGTTCTACTTAAATCTGCAAATATATAAATATATGCTTAAAAAACTAATTGCTGTGACCTCCACAGGCGCTAAGAGTAGAAGATGTAACTGAAAGAACTTCGTAAGTAGGTGGTTTACAATAGTTTTCGTTGTTAATACAGTGCATGTATACATAACATAACATAACATAACATAACATAACATAACATAACATTGTAATTGTATAGCACCCGACTTATATGGCAGGCCCATGCCAGAATGGGTAAAACCACGGATTTATATGTAATATAAATCCGTGGTAAAACTAACGGAAACAACAGTCTGATATGCAAGAAAAATAAATCCCACCTTGTTTATGTTTCAATATGATTCATATTATAAATTCTTCTTCTCGGCCGAGTGGTTTAGGCAGTTGACTTCTCACCGCGGTGGGTTCGAATACCGCTAGGGATTTTTGCACAGGTCACTGGCAAAGGCTTTATTCATGAGGTATATCCAATATCAACATTACATACTTGATTTGCCTATCTCGATTCTTAAATATTTAAAAGCAAAATAAATATAAAGAATAACAGGTAATTTATTTTTCAATTCAATTGAAATACAAATGTACCTTGATTAGCTTCTAACCCCCCCCATCTTTTTCTTCAGTAAAGATAGTTCCATCTCTAAGTCAACTGTTTTCTTCAGCAGTTGATATTCGTAATCAAACCTTGACAACGGCGTGCCCGGTTCCAAGTCCTGAAGAACTGATTGCTCGCTGCTGACAGACAGCCCTAGAATTAGCAATGATACACACTCCACTTTAAAAGACATATTTCTATTTCTCTTTAACTGACGGTATTTAGGTCTACGAGTTAATCTCGCGTGTAGGCCCACCAGTGTTTGAAAAAGCATAAACTGTTTGAGTCTTTAATCTTATATATAACAACCGGCCCGATCAGATCTGCTTCCGCAACATCTGGATTTTGTTTGATTAGTGGATTTAAACTTCCTTTGCTATTATGACATTCATTGATGTAAGTGACGTTATCAGAGCAAATTGATTCCCGTCCAGTGTATTTGATAAATTCATCTGTGTCGTATGTCGTATATTTACAAATAATTATGTGTGTCACAGAAATAAAAAAAAAACAGAAAAGATTTTCTGATATAAAGAAAAGGCCAGGATTACCACGAACAAATATATTCAACTAAGAGGGAAGTACATGTAATAACTTGATTTCATCCAATAACTTAAAGCCGGAAGATAAAAGTCGACCCGTAGAAATGCAGTTATAACTAATCCATTTTAAAGTGAATATCTTCAGTATTTTCAAAGATTAATGTTGCATGTAAAACTTTAAACAGGAATTTTCTGAGTTTTAAAATTTCATATAATTATATATATAGTCTGACTAGCTTGAAAATGAATGCGTCCTTGTCCCGATACTCTTATGCTTGAAAATATGCCTGACAACAATTTGTAATTTAAGTATGCCCACTGATTTTCAATTTTAAACAAATCCGACTAAATGTCAACAGTTTGGTTTTTTGTACTTTCGGTTTCTACAACCATAATAATAAATATATTAATAATGTACTGTTTGGTTTTGTATCTATGAATTCGCTTATTTTAGGTGGACTTTTACTACATATATTGGAAATAAACTTGACAACAACTCCAAGCATTAAATTACTATTTGTTTACATGTTTAGTTTCTTAGCGTAGGTTAGACCGAATTACCGCATCCGTTCTGTGTATTCGTACAATTGTGTTCGAGGTCCTTATCCGAAGACTGACGGAAAGGGCCGAGTAGTTGCGATTGCGAGGAGTTGGGACTACTTTCGGTGTTTGCAAGACCTTTATTTGTTTGGTCTGACGACCCAAACCAATAAAGATCTATATTGAATAAAATTATGGATAGATTTAAAACAGCACTTTTCTTTGGTTATCTCGCACATTGGGCTACTTTCTTTAAAACTTTACCTACATAGTGTCTAAAAAAAGAAGAAGATTCTGTAGTACGGTGGCACAGAGTTGACATGTGATTGTTTTTATTTTTATCATCCGCATGAGATACTATGTGTCGTGGCCACGAGATTCTATGTCGTGGCCACGAGTTTCTAAGTCGTGGCCACGAGATAATTAAGTGGTGCGCATGTCGTAAGGGTGACGAAACTACAAATAAAGATAAAAGTACAGCTGCACATTATCAGTCATTTATTCTGAATGAACCAAGTAGTATCAAGACATTATATGAATAACTTGTATAGACATTTGATTTAAAGTGAATAGTCATCACAATAGTGTTTTTAATCTTAAGATAGTTGAATAAATAAACAAACAGTTAGAAAATTAAACCGCATGGAACAAATTGCAAAATATATAATCTGACATAATAAGGAACTAACCTATATGCTTACATCGAACTACGGATATGAGGAGCATATTTTGAATGTCCCAGCGAGTTTACTATAGCAGAGTTAACAGTATATATGAAAAACCTTATTAATGAAGGTCCAAACCAAATGTCAAATGATACGCAAAAAAAGTAATATAGAAAATAAATAACTAGATTTTAGACGTTCCATAACAAGCACTTGTTTGGGTTAGGTAAGTTTAATGTTAAAAGTCTATTGAATGGGCAGCTGTATCTGTCTTAATTTTCAGTAAATCGATGGATACCAGAGTGTGCATTTTGAAATAGATACTCTAAATTGCAAACATGCATATACCAAACTTCATGCAAGGGCGGTAACAAAGTTTAGCTATATAAAATTCGAAAATGTTGTTACCTCCCTTTTGAGTTGTTTTTGTTGAAGCACCACACTAAATACCGTAATCCGTATATACTGATCAGCTTGAAATTTAATTGTTAACATCTCACTTTTCAACCGCCGCACTTTAAAATGTCATATTCATCCATTCACATCAATTTATAAACGATAATGAATGGAAAATCTTAGAATCGGCAAAAAAAGCGATATTTTATATAATGTACTTTGTGATCATGATTTCTGCAAGCGGATTTCTGCAAGTGCCTAGAGCTACTGCTCCAACACTGTATTGAATTAAATCCATTTTTGTTAGCAGATATTTGTTTGTTATGTATGTAAGATTGAAATATATATCACTGAGTGAACACCAGATGCAATATTTTCACGAGTGGCGTAGCCGCCTTTAATATAGTAATGTGTTTATGTTCAAGTTAAGATCCTTTGCTCATTAAAAGTTATATATCGTTTAATCGTGATAATTATAATCAAATAATGTCCAAAGTATTACGATAAAGCATTACGAGTGTGTCAGTACTGTCTATATATCACAAAGCTGGTGAAAATACATCATATACAGTAAAAAGGCGAAGAACAATTTTCACTTTTGCATCAAAATTGCACCGTTTGTTGTCTCAAAATTATAAATGTTTTTATGTGTCATTCCTGTGTACTCTGCACTGGTCACATGGGTAGAATCAAGTGCCTCTAGCGGGCTGAGGTTTAATAAAGTTAACAACAACAAAAACAACAAAAAACAACAACAAATTATTATTATTATTATTATTATTATTATTATTATTATTATTATTATTATTATTATTATTTTTATAATTATTATTATCATTATTATTATTATTATTATTTTTTTTTTTATTACAAGATTTTGTCAAAAGTTGAATATCATTTTCTATGTAATTTTTTTTTAAAAATATACCTAAGAAATAGTACACAGCACTGGGGCCCTCATCGCATTATAGGTCCATTATACCTCAGAAATGACCATTTTCATTTCTCAAAAGCTTTTTATTTTATGTGACCTGCTATAGTTCCCAAAAATTCACTCATTGGCCAATATGCAATTTGTAAAAAAATATAGTGAATGGAAGCCTTAATACTACTTTGTTAACATTTTGCAACTTTTATGAAAAATCTTTTCACATTCAGCGCAACTTTTTTCAGGTGAAAAACCCCTAAAAGGTTCTTAAACCATTATTCAAACGCTTATTCAAACGCTATAATAAAACTCATGTTTGCCTTTTTAAAAAATAAATAAATAAATAAAAAAAAATATTTATATCCGATGGGCAGCGTACTCCACTTTTCTCTGTGCGGGAAAGTAAAATTAGAGAACATTAAATTTAGCTATTTAGCTGAGTCATACTTGAAGTTATTGACGAACATAGTTTTCTATGTTTAACATTCTTTATTTTTGCAGTGTGACAAATAGAATATTATATTCGTGTAGGTTCATTACTAAATTGAGTGAACGAGTTGAATAATGTGTGTATTATGCGAGCCTTTGTATTACACATGACGGAGGCTACATTCGATCTCGAAAATATAAAAAAAGTTCGAACTGTTAAAGACGCATGCTAAATAAACCGTTAGCATCCTTTAAAAGTTTTGCTAGTCTTGTTGATAATTTTTTTCATCATTATTTTTATAAATTAATGACTATATGCAACAATGTGATTTTGTTATAGTAACGACTGTATGACAGACAGACGGACGAACGAACGGATGAACAACACATGAAATGCGAGTTTTAAGTAGTAAATCTTAATCTTCAAACGGGAACAAACAATGCCGATCTTAGTGGTTTTAAAATACGGTTGTCATGTCAATAAAACTGATTATGTAATAGTTATAGTACATGAAACGAGTTAGTTACAAGGATATAACACTGGCTGGGGCGACATCAAGGGGTATTTCTGCTAAAAAAAATGTCGAGGCCGTTAGGCCAAGACAATTTTTTTTTTGCAGAAACATCCCGAGATGCCATATAACACTGGCTGGGGCGACATCAAGGGGTGTTTCTGCTAAAAAAAATGTCGAGGCCGTTAGGCCAAGACAATTTTTTTTTGCAGAAACATCCCGAGATGTCGCCCCAGCCAGTGTTATACCCCCGTAACTAACGAGTTTCATATACTATAACTGTTTTATCGCAATGGCATAATGTTTTCTTTTTTAGTAAAATAAATAAATAAATAATAAATAAATCGTTAGCTACATTACAGTTATTCATGATAAGGCAGTTTTTTCAAGTTGTTTTCGCTGCCGCAAAAAAAAAGATATACAAGAGACATCCAATGTTAGAGGCGAATTGTAAACTGTTACCAATATTGATTCATTTTAATTAAAGGGCTTTATTCAGTGGAAATAATTCATTCAGCGGATGTACCTTTTTGATTAAATGAGAGTAAATTTCATTTCATTAATTATCTTTGTTTATATTTTTCATTGTATTTATTTATTTATTTTATTTTATTTTATTGATTCCATTTTTTTTGCTACTGGGAATGTTCGTTACCACTGCCCCATTGGAGCCTCTGTGAAAAAAAAAAAACTGCATTGATATATAACAGGTGCGAAAAAAACTTAATCGATATATAACAGTCGAGTTTTTTTTCCTATATGAATCAATGAAAAAACTGTACTGTACTGATATATATCAATACAGTTTACAAATGTTCATTGAAGTGTACTGAGTATAATGGGCTAGTAAGAACAAAGGAAAAGTTCCAAACCATGCGATAAATAGAGGATATTTGTTTGTTTCACTGAGTGAACACAAGATGCATAGATGCCATCACATCACGACGTCACATAATCATGTTTAAATATGTTTTCCAACAGTTAGATGACGTCACTTATCGACGTCATTTGACAACGTCTCCTAGCAATACCAGAATGAGGACTGAAAGAGATCCATGATGGGCGCTGCAATTTGCCATTAGCTGAAATGTCCTCGCATAAGGTGAGAGTCATAAGAGTTGAGCCCTCAGATGGTACGGGATCTTTACCCCCAGTGAGGGCAGATACAAAGAAACTTATGGAACAACAGATTATGTTGGCAAATAAAAGAAGTCAAGTATTTACGTACAAGGGGCCAGGAAAGACCCGAAGTCGTTCTGTACCCGACAGAGGATTTAAAGAGGTTCAAGTTACGCATGCACGGGAACAGAGTTTACCTAGATATCGCGATGATTTTTACGATTCAAGTGACGAAGAATTAGAAGAGGAGGAAGTCAAGTTAACAAATACACCAAAGCAGGAAGCAGAACAACTGGCAGTTGATATAAGTATGAGTTTAGAAGACAAAGAGGAAAATCATAGAGAATCAATGGATGTATCAGCCAATAAAGGGGTAGTTTGTACAGACACGAAAATGAAATACGAGGCGGGAAATAAGGTAAAGTTCGAGTTCCACCCTTGTGCTTAGCATAATACTTCAGTACTACTTATTACTAACTAAAATGATTATAAATTAATCACAGGTGCAAATATCTTGACTTATACTTTTATTATATCTAATGTATATTATGTGTTTCACCGTGTATATCCAGTAACGCTGGAATGTGAAAATTACGCACGATTCGTGCAATAAGTAACGCAGAATTGTGCAATAAATGGCCGATACCTGACAGGATTTCCAACGCGGTAAGTTAACTGGCCAACATATTTTTTATTAAACCGAACTGTAAAAAATGAATAGCTGCATACGGCTGCAAAGACATTACTCTTTATCCATCATCAAGATTATTTCCACGAAATTGTTTACTTTCGTGAAAATGATGAGTTGACTACATTCCGGCGTTACTGGATATACACGGTGTATTTGTTATTTGTTACATGTCTACGTCCTCGTAATGCCTCGTGAGGGTTTTGACAATAATGTGAGGGATATATCTATATTTTATTTTTTATACACATGAAACAAGCATGCTTTTGTACTTCATGGAAAATATTCAATAATTCTGGCTTTCCCAATAAAATGGCATATAAAGTGGTTTAAGTGAGTTGTATCTTTTTTGAGCTAAGATTGTAAGTCCAAGCTTACAGGTGCAATCCACAAATCTATATCAAATTTACAATATGTATGTAAAGATACAGAACAAAATGACATTAAGTGTATCTAATTTGTTCTGACAGTTCACGTTCTTGCTTTAGATGATTGACGAAAAGATTTGATTGCCAATTATAATAGGTACTTAGATTCGGGTTGATTTCATTCTTTTCATGTGAAGGATTGGTAACATCGAAGAGCATTATTTGTTGAATTTGAATTGTACATTTTTGAAAACCTTTGAATGAAATTGATGTAAGCTGCACCACATTTGTAATACTATCACCCTCGGGATTCCTCTTCAATTGTAGGAAAATGAAGACCTTGATAAAAAAGATCAAGATGTAAAAGCAGAAAAGGATAACATTGCGACCACTTCTAACGAATCTGACCAGGAAAATGACAAGAAAAAGAAGAAAAAGAAGATGAAGCTTCCAAGTTGTTTTGGTTTCATTTCAACTTGGATAGCCAAAAGGAAGGAGAAAAGACGTCAAAAGAAAAAGAAGGCTATAGCTAGCCGCGCCCCCACACCAACGCTAGGTAAGAATTACACACACACACACGCACACACGCACGCACGCACGCACGCAAGCACGCACAAACACACACACCTTGCTCGCATTTTGTGACAGTTAGAAAATATATGAATATATGTTTCCTGCTTGTAAGTATATTTTCGTCAAACTTTTATTTAAAGAGAAGAAACTGCGTACTGAGAAGACAAAACTTGTTTTATTTTATTTAACAAGATAATTCATTGGCAATACTCTTTCTATTTAAGTTCAATATGAGCATAGAAAATCACGTGGCGGGGAGTCTTTTACCATTGAGGTAGACTGCAAACCGATAGTGATGAAGCCGATATTGCCGCCAATAAAGACAGCTGACGGGCCTGTAAGTATAAATCTTATATTTTGAATACAACATACTTTCTATGTTTCCGCCTGGATATAGAGAATAATAGGTTGGTGCCGTGGATGGAGAAAGTTTATCTGGCGAGGCGGAGGAATTTATTGGGTGAGCCTGCCACCCAATAAATTCCTCCGCCTCGCCAGATAAACTTTCTCCATCCACGGCACCAATCTATTATTCTATTTATCCTGTCACCGTTTTTTTTAAAGAATTTTATTAGGCAAACTACCTTTAATCACACTATCGGAAATGTTTCTATATAAACAAAGAAGGCCATAATTATTCTACAACAATGCACTCGCCGTTCTTATTATCTCCCTGTGTATTTTCACATTGAGAGCGCCATTTTGTTTGAAAAATGTGATAAATAAAAACATTTTTTTGTCGAATTTTATTGTGAAAACTATCTAGAATGAAAGAAAATGAATTCGAACACCAATATCTTTTAGTCAGTCGTTAACGCTGTACAACCGTTTAAAGTATTGTTTACGTGACGTCACAATGTAGCGCAAAACAATCAAATCAAGTACGCTGTTTTAATGTCGCAAACGAGTTAAGTTTTACATTTATTTCACTTTTAATCATTTTTATTTCGCTTGAAAAATTATAGAGTGAAATAAAATAAACAAACAAAGTTTTATCAACGTTTCCAAAATTCGTTATTCTACACACAGAAGATTTAACGACAGTTTTTATATTTTTTCTTGAAAAGTAGTCCGGCAAACATGCATACCACGTGATCAAGTGCCGTAGATCAGTAAAAATATACGGCACCTTGTTATCGGGCCGAAATTGATACAAGTGACAGGATAAAAATATTTCTGATGTATGTTTGAAAATTGTATTTTTGAATGCAACATACTTTCTATGCTTCCGCCTGGAAGTATTTCTGATGTATGTTTTTAAAAAATTTTTATTTTTTGAAAACAACATACTTTTTAGGCTTCCCTTTTTT